TAAAATAGTAATGCTTACTATCCAGAACTGATGTCTAAATTGTGAGAGATGCCCTAGTCTATCACGATCAGTTCACTTCAATCCCCTAAATGATTTGCTGCTTTTGTTGAGGTTGAGTTGAACTGTCCTTACTTATTGGCATCATTCTTCTTACTAAACAGAGAACTTTGCAAGGTCGTGTATAAGCTTGTTAAAAGTAGAACCAAACTCAAATAAAGATATATAATTGGCTTGCCACAATCGAATTGAGCAACCACCTGAGAAGATCCAACAAAAACAACTAGGATCATTTAGTACCTAACTGCTTTAAAACCTTGACAACCTTACCTTCCATAAATCTTGGATTAACATAGAAAATACAATTCCAACAACAGATCTTCTTTGCACGACAAATATAAATCCTAAGAAATACGTAGCAACACCACTAAATGATCACAACTAATATCACAATAATTATACATATATATGAAAAGTACAAGTTTGAAAGCATACTAGACTGCAACATTATATGAATATAGTACCTCCTATTTTCACATATTCTACATAGATATATATATAGAATTACAATATATATATTAAGAAAATAGGTAAAAATAATGAAGATTAGTAAAAGAAATAATTAATTATTTATTTAAGTTTGAACTTGGCATCTTTGATAGCGTTGCGGTACACCGCAGAGCCTCGATTATTCTCTTTATGCCAATTAAGCTACAATTGTATAATGCAGAAATAGAATAGTTGAGAAGAAAGGAAAAGTTTATATAATTGTTCCCAAAAATGAAGTTTCAAAATCCAATCAAAACTAAACTGAAGCCACAAAAATCAATTCCAGATGAAGCGCAAAAAAAAAATTGAATGACTTAGAATGCAATGACAGAAATATGAATAGTTTATGTGTGTGTGTGTGCAGAATTCATCATCAAACAACTCTGAAAGTAAAGTTAAGCATCGTAAGTTAATACAAGTACAAAATTTCATCCATTTATAGTTTTACACGTAATAATCATAGAAAAGCATCAGTTTCGAATAATAAGAGACCATCGAAACATACTTGAAGCTTTCCATTGCTAGTTTCAACTACAAGATTCATGCCACGTCCAACCGAGCAAAAACTGCTATATGTTCCCAAATCGCACATCTTAACCACTTGCTTAAACATGAAAAACATCAATTTTAACATCCCAAGTAGGTAATTGAAAGAATAGAAATACAATAAACCAACAAAGTAGTACCTTGTTGCTAGATGTGTGTCATAAACAAACACAATTTCCCAACTTGACACCCAACACATTATGTGAAGATCAATCTACACGATTAAGGTCAAAATCATCTTGCAACACAAGAGCATCCAGAATCTATGCGAAGTGGCCATTACAAAACAATACATCACATCAACAAGTAACTGACACATAATTCAGCATTAGAAACATTATTGAAATACTATTTCCAACAAAACCCTCCAATTAGTGTATGCAAACAAAAATTATCAATCTTAAAATAAGAAACTAACTTCAAATCCTCAAAACCGTGGCGAAAATTTCGAAGCAAGAAACCCAAAAGGTAAATCGTATTTTAATAGAACACCCAAAATGTAAATCATTGCAAAAAGAATAAAATAAAATAAAAACCATGAGACACTATCGACAAGGGAAGAAAATATTTTGGTATACACTTTAAATCGATTTTAACAAAAATCTGAAATATGAAATATTGCAGCAAAAAAAGATAAACTACCTTCAAAGCGGCATGGAGAAGGAAAGGAAGAACATCGATGTTGATTTGGAAGCGATGATGCACCATTAGCACCTTTAGTCGAAGTCGAAAAATGAGTAGGCAAGTGGATCGATCGAAGGGAAGAACTACGGCTGGTGTTTGAGCGTAGTCAATGGCCGAGGAAAGTGGAGAAGGAGCACGTTTCAAGGGTGCAGAGCAGCGCACAGCACCGAAGGTGAAGGAAGACGTATGGAAAGGAGAAGAAAAAAAAAAAGAAGGAGAAGAAAAGAACGAAGAAGAAAAGACGAAGAAGAAGATCAAAGAAGAAAGAATAAACATTGAGGGGGGGGGGGACGCATTAAGGAAAATGTTGAAGTTTTTATTTTAATTTTAATTTTTAATTGTATATAATAATTTAAATTTTAAATAAATAATTATTTTAATTTTAATCTGCATATATTAATGTATAAGTATTATATATGTATATATAATATATTATTTAAGAGTACTTTAGATTAGTTTGAAATTAAAATTAAAATTAAAATTACTGTAGTTGTAATGAAAAAAATACCGCAACAAAAGAAAAAAAGCTGACCATACCAAAAAATTTATTTGTTACGAAAATATTCAGAACAAAAAAGAGCTTTTGTAACGAAAAATTTGTTGCGGATAAGATTTTGCTACAAATGGCCATTTTTTTTTTTTTTTTGTAGTGACAATTACTATTATAAAAATAAAATGTAACACACATTTTCACAATAAATACTTAGAAAATATATACTCTATAAACTCATAAAAAATGAATAATTCAACACAAAGTATTATTATTTATATTACAGACATGATTCTACATTCTTAACTTTAAAAAATACTTCAAACTAAAAATAATAAACAAACACACTCTAAATAGATTAATTTGAATTAATAAAGATTCATGTATTTTTTTTTTCATTTTATAGAAAGTGGTATATTTGGGTGGGACAACTAAACAATGAAAGGTAATATATTTGGTGAGATGATGGAAGTATATTTTTTAAGGGTCAGGATCACCTTACAAGAATGAGTTGTTTGTTGGACGCCTACTAATAATCAAACCTAAGAGTCCGTTTGGATTTTTTTAAGAAAACAAAAATAAAAATAGAAGTAGAAGTAGCAGTCAAAACTAAAATCGATTATATATTTGGATACATTTTTATAACCGCAATGTTTTTGAAAAAAAAAAAAAAACGGTTTGGATATAATAAATTTAAAAGTGCTTTTAAATCATAAAAAAATTACCCAAATGGACATATTGTTAATAAAATTATATTTTTATATTAAACTTTAATAATTATTTTTAAATTTTATTAATTATATTTAAAAATTTTAAGTTATCATAGAAACTATTTCATTCCATCATGCTGGCTTTTTTTTATTGTTAATTTTCATTTTAGCAAAAAAATATGTCATTTTTTGTATTTTTTTACTATAAAAAATAAGAAGTAATAATTATTTTATTTTTATTCAAACTATTTTCAAGTCCTTGAGCATACATTTAAAGTTTTAATTGATGGATAATATGCAAATAAAAAATAAAATTATAATTTAATATTTGCTGCAGCAATGCAACATTGGATTTCTTGATATCATATGTTTGTTGCAACCATGCTACATTGAATTTCTTGAGAGCGATATGGCAAATTTATTATCACAAAATATTGATATTAGTGCATCTTGCTTGTGTTGCAAAAACTTTAGAATTCTTCTGAGCCATACTGCATGAGTTGAAAATTTTGTTGCTGCAATATACTCCGTTTCTGCTGTGGAGAGCTCTACTACTGGTTGTTTTTTAGTTGACCAGATAAAATAGTTGACCCAAGATAAAATGCATATCCAGATGTACTTTTCTTAGTTTCAATGTCTTCAGCCCAATCACTTTATATGTATCCAACAAGTTCAAAAATTTTATTAGTAGAGTAAAAAATTCGTTTTGCTTGCAACGCAGTGTAATTCTTTTGGTTTCTGATAAACCTACTCAGCAATCCAAGTCCAAAGGAAATATCTAGCTTTGTACCAAGTATCTGAAGCTACCAATTAAGCTTTTATATGTTATCGTATCTACATTCCTCTATGTTCCATCCTTGGGCGGCTTTAACTTTTTGGCGATTGGAGTTAAGACTGGCTTCGAACTCACCATGCTGAATTTTTTTAAGATATCTCCTTCATACTTCCTTTGAGATAAAAAAAATTCCAATCATTTTTTTGTTGCACTTCAAAGCCAAGAAACTAGGACACATATTCTTCTGGTGTTTTATTTTGAACAATTTTTGTTGAACACCTATCAGCACACAAACAACACATATTGTAGCCTCTACCAAAAACTCCTTACGAAAATTTTTTATTAAGCATACATCTCACCATATCCATGATTTTTCAATTTTTCCTCTCAACTACTCTATTTTGTTGAAGAGTATATCTTGTTGTAAATTGATGTTATATTCCACTTTTAAAAATTTCATCACACCCAATATATTATGTTCCTCTATCAGTTCTCAAGATCTTTATTTCTAAACCACTCTCTTTCTCCATGGAACACTTAAATTCTTTGAAAGCATGGCATGCTTAGACTTATGCTTTAAAATATAAATCTATGTTTTTCTACTCAAATCATCGATGAAAGTAATAAAAGTACTTACTACCTCCATGTGATGGAACCTCAAATGAAAATAAGTCTGAGTGAACAATATCAAGGTGTTTTGCTGCTCTTCTTGACTTCCCAATTAGAAAGGAATCTATGTGTTTCTTTCCAATCTCAAAAATTTCACAAACACGATTAAGAACATTAACAATTGACAAGACTGACACAAGGTTATTTCTCAAAAGAAATTTCAATCCTGAGAAATGGAAGTGCCCACAACGCATATGCCACAGCCAGTTATCATTGGCAATATCAATTTTAGCACAAAAGAGATATGAATATTGAATATGCAAAGGGAACAACCCATTTTTAGACATATTTACCTTTGTTATCAACTTTCCTTTGTTATCTGCAATGTAGCAAGTTCCATGTTCAACAATAATTTTATACCTTTTTTTGCTAATTGTCCCACTTAAAATATTTTGATGAAGATCTTAAACATAAAAGACATTGGATATAAAATTCAGGTCCCATCTTTTAACCGTATTCCAACTTTGCCCTTTTCCCAAAATTGGGACCTTTGATTTATTCCCAAAGGTTACCTCTGAATGAATGGATTGATCCAATTTGTAGAATAACTCTTTGTTCCCACACATATGGTTACTGCATTTGATATATATATATATAAAAAAATCATGTGTTCTTATTTGCATAAACCATATCACTAGCTAACAATAGAGTTTCAGCCTCTTTAACGTATTCACCAGAGTTCTCGGCAAGATGTTCTTGGTTCTTAAAATTCCTTTTCCAACAATATGCAATCATGTGTCCATACTTGGCACAATTATAACTATGAAAAGAAATTTATCTTGGTTGTTACCTCTTTCCCTATTATGTGATGTGTTATTCCCATGGCCTCGTCCCCAGAAATTTCCTCTTTCTCTTTCATGGTCTCTGTTCAGCCCTTCCATGTTTGAATAATCATTTGAGTCCAAATTAATTTGGAATTTCAAGGCTTCTTCAATTGGTATTTCTGTTTTTGCTGCAATTTGATTGATGTGGCTCTCAATCATGCTTTTCAGCTCCACAACAGATAAGAATTCAGTATCATGGGACTCAATTATAGAGGCCACAACATGATCATATTTCCTCGGCAGGGTTCGAAGAACTTTCTTAACTACAGTGCTGTGTGTAATTTTTTCTTCATTTAACCTCATATTGTAGATGATATCAATGAGATGAGAGAAGTATTGTTCCACTGTCTCTGTAGTTGTCAACTTGCATCGATCATACAATCTTCTCAACAACTGCAATTTAGACTTTTGAGCTTGATCAACTTCTTTGTATGACATCTTAAACATGTCCCATGTTTCCTTTGTTGTTTTTGCACTTGCGATTTGCTCGAAAATAGAGTAATCAACACCTTGATGGATTTGACCTAGAGAAAGTTTGTCTCGTCATTAAGAATTTGCATATGCTTCATTTGTAAGTCCCAACTCAACAAAATACCACGCCTTCAGATGTGTAGAGATGATTATTTCTCAATAATTGTAGTCGAAATTCCTATCTAATTTGGGACCCGTCCACACAATGTTGATGTTGGTTGTCATTTCTTACAAAAAAGGAAGATACTAATGGAGGAAGTATGATTTATGCCTTTTGTGAGTTAAGAAAGGAAAAAATGAAGGAAAAATTCAGATTTGGGAGAATTGGAAGGCAAAAGAAAAATTAGGTTTTTTGTGGTTCTAATACCAATCTAAAGTAATTTAATATCGAATTGCATTTACTCATGTACTAACTCTATTCTAGAATAAATGACTATCACTAAGTTATATATGAAAGGAAGTTACTGATAGTTTCTAAAATAAGCCAATGATTCTGCAACAAATCCACAATTAACATAAATTATTTTGATTTAAAAAATAAAAAGAAAAGCATTATTTGACTTGGTTTAGCACATTGGTAATTTCTAAAAGTACAACATTTTAATTTATTGAATTTGATTAATATCAACATTAGTCTCAAGTTTTTGTAATTATGTCATCATTAGATGGTTTAAAAGTAATATTAATGTTCCATATTGATTTTCAAAATAAATGCATGAAAGGCAATTATCTATTCATTTTTTACGAAACTTACGCATTCAAATTAAAATATAAGTTATGTAAATAATATATCTAAAATAAATTATTGTAAACTATGTAATACTCACCTGTCCTTAAGATAATGTCACAGTTGCTATAAACATGAGAATTTAAAAAGAACATAATTAGTAAATAATTAACAATATATTAATAAAATTGATTATTGTATAATATAAATAATTATATATTAATATTAAAATAACTAATTAGTCTAGTTAGAATTAAAAAATTAGAAATTATAAAATTTAAAATATAATTAAATTGTGCAATTCTTTAAAGGCTAAATTGCACAAAATCCATCCGTGGTTTCATGAAATTGCACCAAATCCTCCATACTTCTAAAACTGCGTCAAACTTCCTCGTGGTTTCATAAACTTTGCGTCTAACCCCCTCAACGGTCCTTATTTAACGGTATTTGACCTAAATGCGCTCAAACTGCAAATAAATTTTAAAATCTCAATTTCTAAACCCCAAAATTACAAATATATTTTTTTATATTAGCCTAAAAAAATAGTAAAAATAAACTCTTAAAACCTGAGAAAAATAACTATTTTTTAGTATATTTACTATTTTTTTAGGGTAAATATAAAAAAAAATAAATATATTTGTAATTTTAGGGGTTTAAAAATTGAGATTCGAAAATTTATTCGCAGTTTGAGTGCATTCAGGTCAAATACCGTTAAATAAGGACCGCTAAGGGGGTTAGACGCAAAGTTTATGAAACCACGATGCAGTTTGACACAGTTTTAAAAGTATGGAGGATTTGGTGCAATTTTATGAAATCATGGGTGGATTTTGTGCAATTTAGCCTTCTTTAAAAGTAAAAAGAAAAAATAACAAGAGATGTACGATGGAGAAAAATGAAAACTATAATATAATATATGAGACGAATAGAGTAAAAAATAAGATGAAAAATACAAACAAACAAGTACACCGTAAAACTAAAATAATGAATCTAACACAAAACTACTCAAGCTAGGTAGGCAAGCATGGCATTATAAAAATAATATTAATTTAAATTTCATAGTTTTTTGCTAAACTTTTGGAAAAAAAAAAAAAAAAAAAAAAAAAATTGGTCCCATTGAAGCAAAAACAATTAATTTTAGTCAAATTTTAAAAATTCATCAATTTTATTCTATTCCAAAAAATTCTGACATGAATATAATTAATTTAAATCAATACGGTCATGTTTACATAAATACGAGTGTGTAAAAAAAATAGATATGAAGCTTCTGTGCTTGCTCGACAACTTGAGCCATTTCTTCAAGGAGAAGAAGCTCAACGCTGGAGAGGTCGTCTCCTTCCAGCGGTGCGTCAGCGAGTTGGAAAAGGATCGTCTCTTCATCAAATGGCTCCACCACCCCTGACATTCCGGAATCCCTCCGGCAGCCCTTTCAATCCCCAACCAATTCTCCTTCCTCCGCTCTTCGATTCAACCATTGACCCTCCTCCTATTTCATTTTCATTGAAAATAGCATCTCTACTAATAAGAGTTTTAAATCCGTGCTTAGATTTTAACCATAATCTATACCCTATAACTCTTTCCAAGTAATCCCACCAAACGCACTTTTCAGTTCTAGGGTCTAATGTGGCATTGTTAACTCATATCAAAGTCGAACACCCAAACACTTGAATATTAGAAATCTCAATTTTTCTACCAATCCACTTAGATTCGGGGCATGCACTATTTAAGGGAATTGAGGGTAATCTATTGACTACATAAACTGTCGTAATAACAGCTTCACTCCAAAATGATTTAGAAAAACCAAATGAAGTCAAAAGGCTTCTAACCCTCTCTAAGATGGTCCTATTCATCCTCTCGGCCACTCCATTTTTTTGGGGTGTGTAAGAGACAATCTTATGCCTATTTATACCAGTTTCTAGACAATATTCATCACATCATGAGTTATATATTTCTAAACCGTTATTCATTCTAAGAATTTTTTTTTTTTTTAGTTTGATCACTTTAATTTTTTTCAATTTTTTAAAATCTCAAATACATTAGATTTACTTTTTTATAATAAATATCCAATTCTTTCTAGAAAAATTCATAAATTATGGATAAAAAATATATATAGACGCACCATGTGTGAGGTCACTAGCTAGGCCCTACACATCATCATGTAAATAATCCAAAATAGATTTAGACAAATCATATTTTTCACTAGAGGATGAGGAAATTGAACTTTATGATGCTTACCATGTGTACAGTTATCAAAAAAGGATATAGATTTAAATTTTACATTTTCAAAATAACTATTTTCATGTAAAATTTCTTAGTTTTTATTGCTTAAGTGTCCTAGTCTTTTATGCCACAAATCACTACTTGCTGAAAAAGAATTTATAGTGTTTATAGATATATTTATTGGTTCAGCACAAGTAACATATAAGTTGTTATGAATTACACCATTTTGACACGACTAAAGTAATTTTCACACAATCATTTCTCAATTTCCCTTAACCCTAAATCAGCTAGGGCTGTAACACCCCAGCCGGTTCAAACCGGAGTGTCACCGCCACGCCACACCGGAAGGTTCGTTCATCGACCAACGAGCCATATGTTGTGGCGCTAAGGATAAAATAATGAATACAAACAACTAAATAGGGATTTAAAATTAAAGCGCACCGGCTTATCAATTAAATAAGTAATGTTCGAGTAAAAAACATAAGTTGGAAACAGTTCAAAAGACATCAGTCCTTAGACATAATTAATGAATTTCAAAAGAATTCTAGAAGATAAATTAGTTATAGTTCCCCCCAATGGATCATATGGTGTAGATACATCATATAGGTATAACAGAAGCACCATCACCCTCAAAAAGGTTGTAGGAAGAGGGTCAACACAACGGTTGAGTAAGCACAATTAATCGAAGATAAATTAGTACGGTATAAGTCATAATTAACGTGTAAATGCCAAAAAATAATTTGAAGAAGATAATTTGAATAAAATGTGACATATCACATAAGGATAACTCACACAGACAAGTCTTTTAGCTTCTCTCTTACGTCTCCCTTTTATTCTCAAGTAATTGTGATGAACACATCACGAAAAAAAAAAACTTCACTAGGCCTTAATTAGGGCCGGATCGACCCAATTTTCCAACCTTATTAATTTTTATGACACGTCACATAATTACACATAACAACTATAGGGTCACAACCCTCAAGAAAAGCTCCACCATATGTACATAAGGGTTCGAAGCCCAAAGTACAAGTAAGTCAATTTCTTTATTAGTTTGAGAGGGGCGCCAAACGACCCACAACCCTCTAGTCTCCAACATAACATACCAAGAGGAGATTGTACACAATCCATCCCTCCATCACGGATGACGGTCTAAAGACCTTTTCATCGGGAATGACGGGCACCTCGGAATCACCCAAAAAGGGAACCCGCCATCTCGATCCATCGGCCTAGCCCATTCGTGTTGTAGTTTGAGGTTAGCTAGTTATCCTAAAATACCGGTATATCCTCACATTTTTGCAAGGCACTGAGGTGGAAGACTATGCCTTATCATCCAAGCAATCGACGAGTTGATCGGACTCGACGTGTAGTTTCAGTTACCAATTTGACCCAATACTCAACATGCTATTAGGCAAATTTTAAAGAGAGCTTTAAACTTAAACCTTTCTAATTGACGAAATTTAACCAAGCATAAAGTAGAATATTAAAACTCAACAAGTTCGTTATAATCTCACTTTATTTCGCCAAATAAACATTTGAATAATATGTCCATCCCAATAGGCATAATATAACTCCAAAAATCATAATATTTAAACATAATCATAAATCTTTTCCAAAAAAAAACCATAACTAGGTTAGGACAAAACTAGGGTTTCAAACCCATTCCACAAATTCTACGACTATTAACTTAAAATACTATAACAATCTTCACATAAGGCTTAGGGGACGTTATAATCAACTTTTTAGAAGAAATTAGTAAAAATTTATCACTTTTAGGACAAATCCATTTAAAAATAATTTTGAAAAATATCAACAAAAGGGGTCTAGAGATTACAACATATCATTTAGCTAAGATTCATCTCACTTACCTTAAAAGAAGATACCAAAAGAAAGAGTTTTGGAGAAGAAGAATTCAAGGAAGAAGAAAAAGAAGATTCCAGGCGGCGGCTAGAGAGGAATCGTTGCTTTGCTTCGTGTTCTGCCTCTCTATTCTTTAAAATAATAGACTTGGGCCCTTCTAAATTTTTGGGCCCAAAATGGGCCAAAATACAAATCTATTTACTACACCACTTAAATTAAATCCTTCAACTCCTAAAATAAAAATATTTCATAAGTCCAAAATAAGTTAGATCTAAAATAAAATTTGTCCGACCACACCTCGAACTCCGGAAAGTTCCAGCAAACTTTCAGCGATTATTTTTACGGGGTATTACAAGGGCAGCACATGATAACAAATTATTTAATAAACTAGGAACATTTCTCATGTTGTTTAATTTCAATAAAGAAATCAGTATTAAATTTTAAATTTATACTACCAATTTCAAGCACATTAAAAACACTATTATCAGCCTTAGAACTAGTGGAATTTTCTAAGGTTATGTACTCACAAAAATTGATTTTAAATAGTCATATGATAAGTACAATCAGAATCAATAAGTCATTCATTCAAACAAACATTGTTTATATTTAAGCAGTCGAAAATAACATCAAACACCTCACTACAATTCTAATCAAGTAATGTCACATTGGCTAATTCATTAATATGTTGTTTTTTACTATTATTACTATTATTATTTTCTTTGGACAACACAAACAAAGCGATTAAGATCACCATAATTAAAATATTTTTTACCTCATCTATTATGGGTTTTAGACCTGGTTTTACCTCTACTTTTAGATCTAAGAACTTGCTTTTATTAAGAAAAACCAAGGAAAATAGATAAAAACTTTCACTATGATTTGGTGGAATGCTCAACCCCTAAATCACCCAAAATGTACAAAATCAACACAAACACAAATCAAAGCGCAACAAACACACCGAAAATGGCCAAAACCCACAAATCAAAGAAGAAAAACCCCACATAAGAGAACTAAGGCTGACGATACAAACCGATAACAATCGAAGGCCAATACAGTCGAAACGAGCCCATTGCAGTTCAAAACAAGAGACACATTGGGGGAGAAAAAGTGCCACGGAACTGAAGACAAAATAGGATGAAGGAACGCCGTCGTTCACCCATAAAAGTCGCCCAAAAGGGTGAAAAAATAGAGGAGTGTATGTGTTTAAAAAGAGAAAGAAAGATATAGAATAAAAATGAATAGATGGAATGACGACTCTCTCTCTATCAAGATATATATATATATATCAAGGGTTAGAAAAATAAAAGATAAGGATTAGAATCCTATAATGAAAGTCCAAAATTGCGTCTCACATAATAGATGTGGATCATGATTGAGATGGGTCGGGCGGCAGCAGGTCACGGGTCATAATCATGGGCAGGGCCATGAATCCAGTGGGCCACTAAATTTGAGTGTATTTGTGTTTGGCGTTTGGATTAAATTGATTGAGGCTCTATTTATCTGGACATAAAAATATAACAAATCCTACACCTAATTTTTGGTCCAAGTGGTTGGGGTCATCATCGTCCAAATATTGGATTACTTTTCTGCACAAAGAAAATATAAATAAAAGCTTAGGAACTGAATCAAACTTTTATCATCAACTAATGAGTTTTTATCTTTTTTTAACATAAAATATTGAGACTTATTCTTAGTATTAATTGTTTTCCTAACAGTCATAGACTCATAGATTCATCCAAATATAAGTCTTCAAACATATTACAAAATAAAGAAGATAAATCAAAATTGTCAAACATATAAAATATTTTTAGAATTATTCCTAACCTCATCTAGATATATTTCTATCTCATTACTATTATCAAAATCATTTCCAAATGACTTTTAATTTCAGAAATTGTATTTTAAATTTTATTCAAAACAGGCTGCCCAACAACAGATAAATCCCGAAAGTCACTAAAAAAATATCAATTTCACTATCTAATACAAGCTCCACTCCATTCTGATTATTATCAGAAGCATAATTATTTTCTCTCTCAAAATTGATATTCTCAATTTCAGCATCAATTTGCACACATTTAGCATATTGAACACAAAGTTCATCAAAGCTTGAATTAATATCATCAATATTAAAAAAAAAATAATGTAGATTTATTGAATTAACCTTGTCAAATAATAGTTTTGTGATCTAACTTGACCGCGATCAGACGGTATACATGAAATCAGTACCTTGCTGACGCATAAGGTAACCGCCACTATTTTGATTTATAACAGTCATCTTGACTAACTCACTTGCTTATGCATTATTATTATTATTGTTGTTGTTGTTATTGAAATATTTCTTAGGACAGTTTCTAACAAAGTGCGAAGGATCACTACAATTAAAATATTTTTTTCCTCTTCTATTAGGAGTTTTAGATCTATTTTTATTCTTATTTTATTTTTATTTTTATTATCAGAATTTCCAAAATTATTATTCTTATTAGATATAAATGGAGACCTACCTCTAATAAACATAATTTCATCAAAATTATTAGATTTATTTACTCGTAAATCTAATCCGTTACTTTCAACATTAACAACCACATCTAAAGTCACATAATCACACTCATTTTTAATTGCATATTTTAAATCATAGTATGAACTCGGAATAGCATTCAAAAGAACTATAGCAATATAATAATCTATATTTCTATCACTGGTAAGCTTAATATTTTGAATTAATTTTTGAAAAACATCAAGAATTTTCATCAATAGTTTTAGAAACATCAAGTTTAAAACTAAAAAGCTTTTCTAACAAATAAAAACTATTAGGTGAAAAAGTTTGAGTGTATAGTTCATCCAATTTATCCATAAAGCCAAAGAAAATTCTTACCTATCAACCTTACGAATCACATGATCAACTAAATTTAAAATTATACTAAATGAAGTCATTTTATCCAACTCAGCCCTCTTTTCGAGAGGGACTTGAGTTGCATGGTCTGACCCCACAGCCCTAACTAAGTTTTGAGAAACCAATATACTTCTCATTTTTTTGTTTCCAAATAGTAAAATCTATTTTTTTTTCATCAAAATGTTAGATATTATAAAATATTTGTATATATTTAGGTGTGTTTACTTTGAATGACGTATAATAATACCTAGATTATTTCAATGGATTATATAATCAATAGACTAATTAATATAATATTTATACTCCCTTCGTCCGCCTCTAAGGATCACATTTACCTTTTGTGTCATTATACTTAACATTAAAAATATCGTTATATTTTTATAATTTTTTGTACAAATGTCCTTCTATTAGTATTATAAGACACTTATGAAAATAGTTTTTCAATTTTTCCTTAATTTGTACTACGTTTTGATATAATAATTAATATTCAAATATCAACATGCAAAAAGTAAATGAGACCCTTAGAGTCGGACGGAGATATTATTTACTTTATTTGATTATATGGTATGATTATTTTTTCTTACCCAAAACACTCTTAATCATGTTATTATAAATTATTGTAATACAATATAATTTATTTTATATATTTTTCCTTTCTAATTATAGCAATATAATATGTAACATTATTAAAATTTAATTGAGTTATTGTCATTACATAATATGTATATAATTTAATATATATTTATTATTTATTTAATTTATTCCTCAAAATTATAAATTAAGTTTTAATAACATATTTTATAGCATTTTTATCACTTATTTATTAAAAAAAAATTAAAAATTACATTTCAAATGAAACAAAATTTGTATATTAATAAACAAAAAAATTGTTATTATATTTATATAAAATATTTTTAAGTGTTTAAAGAGAAGGGTAATTTAGATAATGAAATAAATATGATTAACTAATACTATGGGTTAGATTGTATCAATAATTCTATAAATTAGTATAATTGTAACAAACTTTAATTATATAAGACTCTAATACATTAAAAGAAATATGAGATTAAATCGGATAAAATAATATTATCCATCAAAGTAAATGCACTCTTAATGTAATATTAATAATATTAAAAATAAATATATTATTTATACATACATATATTTCATAACATAACAGATTCACCGATTAGCCTCCCAATTAATTACGCCTACACCACCAGCGTCAATAATTAATGTACTTGAGATTGAGATCCACATCCAGCTGGGCGTGGCGTGGGAGCAAATGGTGTTCAACTCAGTGCCGGTGGTCTAAGCTAAGGAAAGGAAAAGCTGCACCAGCACTGAAGCTTCATATTAAAATCAGTAACTCTTCAGGTAGCGGCTGCGATTCCCACGTCATAAAAAAAATAATAATAAATCAGTAGCTCTGATTGTAACCAAATTAAAGATAAATCACAACCAATATGCTAAATCCATTTTCAAATGATTAAAAGCCACAAAATAATGGAATTAGTTAAAAATCCAATTAAAAATATACATATAAGAACATCACTTTTTAACACTGAAAAAAAATACTAAGATAAATAGGAGAAAATGTCATATTAATTTAATTCAACATGTATATTATATAGTTACACTACAAAAAAAAAAAAAAAATGGCCCTTCACCACGGCCCGAGGATTCGTAACAACATCATAAAAAATAGTGGTTTTAGTTACGTGAGTATCCGTGAAAAAAAAATATCCTCCTGGTCAACGTTTCAAGTTTATTAGTTACACAAAAAAAATGTAACAAATAGGGAGATTGTAGACTTTGGTCAAAATAACATTAGTTATGATAGTTGTAGGTTGGCACCCGTGTGCTTATATTATCTCGTACCGGAGAGAAGAAAGTTGTTGCTGAGGGACTTCTGCTCTCCCCCCTGCACCAGATTCGTGGAATTGTGTCTTAAATTTTTTCTTTTAAACCCTTCAATATGATGTTCATACCGCATTGTCGATGCTGTGACCGTACATGTCTCATAGTCCAGTTGATTATGGTTTTATTGAGTATGGGCATATTTAATTTGACATATGTGGCAGTTAGAATATTATGTATATATAGGTTGTTAATGTAGGGACAGTGGCTATGTTGGTGTAATGCCGATCTGTGCTGATCTTATATTTTTTATCATTCACATGATATTGTTTATGGTTATGTTGTTATTATACTATTTCGGTGCACACTACAGTCCCAAAACTGATAAATGATTGCTTTATTATTGAGTATTTGTGTAGCCCCGACCTGCACACAATAGATTTTTATGTGATGAGGATCACTAACATATAATTTGATTTATCAGTGGTCGATACTCTGAACTTGAACTCATCTGTGGGGGTCTGCTCATATTTAGTGCATAAATGATAATTAATCTCCAATGGCATGATACTACGACACATACATGGAGCAGTCCTATTTAGGGGTAACCATAAGGATTTATTAATTATTGAAATTATTATTATAATATTGTACATGATCTCCTGCTTTACGTAGGTTTTATTGGTGGATGGTTAGTTTATATTTCAAGTTGCAAATGCATTGAAAATTAGAAAGTAGTGTAGTTTGGTGCCTAATTAATGGGTCAAATACCATGTATTGTAGTACATGTCCGAATGTACATACTCGTGCTACATGAGTTGGGAAATATACACTTCAAATGAGTTATGACATGTTTATACATACAGTTTGATCATGTGTTGATATATACGGTGAACTACATACTTTTAAATTGTTCTTGTGAATGTTGTAGGTGACACACTTTCCCTCGTCAAGGTGTTCGTTACATCCGCCTCAGTCCCAGACACACCCCTTATTTTGCCAACAATTGCTGAGGCGACTACCTTTCGCGAGGTTGTCGGTGATGATCTTATTGGGTGGAACTATAAGGATGTACGGATCTACTTTCATAACTTTCAAGTATTGACTTCCAAAATTAAAAGAAATATTACTTAAACTAAACCTTATTCTATTGATAATTGCAGCTCAAGCGCCACCCCTGAAGCATATCGACCGATTCCTTTGGATGGTAAGTTATAATGGCTATGTGAAATAGATATGGAATAGATGCATAGACATTTGGAGTTATCTTTTGTGTGGTGAGAATTGTTGCTATGGATTGATGGATTTTCCCATTTACTTATTACTAGGTTGGATGTTTGAAATGCATGCGTTTTGCGGAACATAATGTCAAAGTGGAGATGTTGCTAGGCTTGTTTGATGGGTTACTTTATTTTTTTGTTTGGTGGTGGACATCGACTAGTAAATACTATTATGTTAATATCCTATGTTGGGATTCCCTTATAGTGTTTATTGTTTGCAGTTATGGCCGATCGTAATATTTATAGCATGGTTGTATACATAATTTCCTTTGGTATAAGAAAGATCACAGCAGGTTAATTTGTTACGCACAATTTCAAGTGTACCATAACTACATTTTGTTTTATGAGACGCTATTTTTTTGTAGCAAAAGGAAGAAATACCATAACAAAATATATTTTTGGATGTTTTTGGTTACGACCGGTTTTCTGACCGTAAGAATGGATAGTTTTGTTAAGGGTTCAATGACGTAACAAAAAAATAAAATGACATAAAACAAATGAAATGACGTAACAAAAAGAGGTTTTTGGACATAACAAATATGAAGGGATAATTTTTTGTTACGGCCGGTTTCCTGACCATAAGAAATATATTGTTTATTACGGCTTCATTGATGCAACAAAATATCGTAACAAAAAGCGTACTCTGACAAGTGGTCATAGTAAATTTTTTGGTAACGCGAGGAGCTTTTTGTAACAAATATCGTGACTAAAAGTCCTGGCACACGCGTGGAAAGCTCGACTTTTTATTATAAGAGAATATTCGTAACAACTATCGTAACAAAAACCTTGTCATAAGGAACATTGACTGAGAGTAGTAGTTACGAAAATGTGCGTGGCAAAAAACATTTGTTACGAGAGTACACATTACCGATAAAAGTCATCACTAAGGCGTAGAAAATACGCAAATTGCACAAAAATTGATTTTTTGTTACGAATTTCCGGCCGTAGCAGAAAACTGTTTTTTTTTTTTTTTTTTTTTGTAGTGTTAGGGTGACCTTTTTATAATATAAGCAAATGAAAATCTTCTAAAAAAGAAAAAATATAATTATTACTACATATAAAAATATTAATATTTATTGTATAAATTAGATGAAGACTAATCCCATCATGATTAAGGTGAGATTAATTTCCTTGAATTAATTTGGAAGTCAAGCCCTTCAACCAAAGAGATGGAGTAAATCTTCCTATCTAATTAATCCCTTTAATTTTTTAATAAGGTGATGATGAGACTTGGTGGAAGAGTTGATATTTCTTTGTAGGATTATCCAGGTTCATGCCAGTTATACATATTGTCATTTGTGAGAAGTAAAAAAAAATAAAATCTGTAGACTTCTTTATCCACATACAAGTGTCAGTTCAATATAATACAACGACATTCTTATGAATGATCTATCTTATATGCATGTGGATTTTTCAGATTAATTAGGAGGTTTGCATCAGTGGTTTTCAATTGAAACCATCAAGCTCGACACCTAGTGATTGATCCAGTATTACTGTAGTATGATTTAATATGGCTTAGTCATGATTTTACATTCTCAATGTACGTAGTATTTTAGGCGATCCTCCCAATGCTCTAGCTGGAAAATCCTAGGCCAAGCCTCGTCTGGTGCAAACTCTTTCTTAAAAAAAGTTCTATTGAACATTCTCCACGTGGTGATGCCCTTTTCCTCACCATGTGCTCTTTCGTTCCTTCTTCGCTAAGTACGTGTCAGTCAATCTCTTCAAATATTAGGAAGCAGTACCTACTTTAGTCTCATCTCCAAGCATGCCAATGTCCTCAAAGTATTTCTTCATGTTATAAAGAAAGTCATTAAGGCTCAAGCTTTCTATTCTTCCACATAACTCTCCCAACACAAAGTATTTTCTGTCGGAGTTGCTGGGGCAACATCATTCATCCTTCTTGCCCTCAATTCAGCTGCACTTCTCTCACTACAGTCAATTCTTTCCGAATATTTGAAGGCTCAGCAACTATAATATTCTCCAACTTCGCAATCTTGACCTTACATCCTGCAAGTTCATGATTGTGACTATTAATGCCTCATTGAGTGTGACAACCTCAATCCTTAATGCATTGCCAAGCTCCTGCATCGCCTATCTTACTTCAAGACTCATCCATCGTGACATTGACTAAGGACAATATATCTTCTTGCAACTCACCTCTCTCGAGTTTGCAGATATGTTGCTCCATCTCGTAATATTTTCTTGTGATGGTCACCCACGTCAGCTCCACATTAGGCAACTTTTTTTTCAAAAGATCCTATGAGATAGTCGAACTTGTCTCTCGCGTTACTCCCCTCTTCAGGTTCTCAGGCTCTAGCACGTAGTTTTTGTACTTTTCGGTGTCATTCCCTCTATACATAGCTCTTATATCATTTGTAACGGACCGGATGATTCATTCTCAAACACCTTTCCATCAATTTGGAAATTCCTTGAGAACTTTTTCAATAAAATCTCATGTTTCTAGCACAAAAAGCAAACTAAGAGTACAAGAAAGCAATAACACAGAAGCTCATTGAATTTACTGACTGAGAGTAATTGTATTTCTTTATCAAATGTGAGTTAAAAATAAAATGAGACTCCCCTATTTATATATATAATTTTTGTCGCTGAAATTCGTCGATTACGGTCTAATAAAATTAAGTCTGTCGAAATCAACAAAGAATCGGGTTCCCTGACCTAAAGTATCCGAGCTAAGTCTCGCGATAAAAATATATTGAAATGCGTAGGATTTGAATTATGAAAATTGAATTACTGGATGAAGAAAGAAAAAAAATATATAAGAATGAAAGAGTTGAAGTAAATTGAAAGCAACAAGAATTTAGGATAAAAGCAATAATTGTGCAGGAATGGAAAATAAGGGAGGGAATTGGGTTATGCTAGTGTTGATCTGATTTTTTTTTTATCTTGCCTTTTGCCTTTATATAGGCATTTCCCAAGATTTTCTCCACCTTTCCCCATTTTAAGGAGTCCACTCAGCCACATCTTCTATTATTTAAAGTTTTAATTGTGCTTTCTTTGACAAAGCCTCATTATTGGACTATCGATGTCTGTTTGAGCTGTTGATTAAGATGGGTTGTTCTTTCTCTTTGCCGGCCTAATCTTCAATGGTTGAGTACTTGTGGTGGGATTCTGGACTGAGTTTAAAATTATTTTTGTAGGATAACAAATGCCCCCATAAAAATATTTTGAATAAAAGTGTCTTTTTCAGTTCAAAATTATTATTATTAATATTTGTGCCCTGATATGATTTGAACAACGCTCAAGCCATTATCGGCTCCTCTGCTCCGTCTCTGGAAAAATTCTTCATTACTCTTCTTTCCATTGTTTCCCCCGGAGTTTTGCTTCCTCTAAATTCCTTTGGCCCTAGGTCATCCAATTTTCTTTTGTTGCCGATTGCTCGCTCCTAAACCGATGCTACTGCTCTTCGTTTATGTAATGGCGAGCACTATTTTTTTGAAATCGTGTGTCGTCAAGGGTTCTTCTGAAGTCCCATCCCGTCCGCCAACCGCCAAGAATGCGAGGGAAAAATCGTCCTTTACTGCTCAGCACGTCGGTCTGTCGGCGGTCCTTTCATCTGAGCTCACGAAGATTCACGGTCATTGGGCTCTTCAACCTAACTCCGAAGATGAAGATCTTTCCGGAGTCGTTCCGGCCGAAGTCTTTGGACGAGGTAACCTTTGCCTTACTCAACCTTTGTTATAATTTTCCCGTATCCCTTCCCGAATGACGCGATTGTTAAACCCGGAGGATTTGAAGTCTTGGGGTTCTTTGGTTGATAGGCTAGACCCTGTTTTTGGCAACATGTGGGATTCATAGAGCATTAGGAATATGATATTATTAAGCAAGGCAATCCCTTTTCAGAGTAGTGTGTTAGCGAAAGCTTTGTTTGGGTTTTTGAGTTCTCATATGAACGCATTTGTCCTCCCGTTTGGCATTCTAACTCCTACCATTTTAGACGTTGCGGTGATTTTAGGCTTGCCTGTAGATGAAGTTGAACCCCCTTCTTCGTCTTTCTATACTATGGAACCACTAGCGATGCCTTCGTCATATGATAGTAACACCAAGCTAGTTGATTTCTTGCAATCAAATTGCATTTTTGGTAGTTGTAGTCCGGAGGAGAATATCGCCCTTTCGTTCATTTGGTTCAATAGGTTTTTTTGCTTGTTTTGCCTCTAAGGGTTTCCTTCAGGAAGCCGAACCTGCTGTTAATGCCATTGTTTCCAGTGCTCCGCTTGATCTTGTGTCGTAGTTTTTGAGCTTTCTTTATCGTGGTTTAAATGACCTTCTTTCCAAACTAGCTAATTCGTTTTCGCGTGATATCCAAGGCATCGGTCCTCTTTGGTTCTTGGAGTTTTGGGCCCATCTTTACTTTCCACATTTAGCCAATATAGCTTTCGATATCACTTGTGTTCCAAGGGGCTCTTGCCTTGGCTTTTCATTGTCTGACTTTCCTCTCCTGAAGGGGAACCTTTCCGGGTGTTTATCTACCCTCCTTCGCGAAACTTCTCATCCTTCTGCTGATTTTTGCCCGTTGTCGACACGTGTTTGTGAACCAACTTTGTTTACCCTAGTTGGCCGAGATCACGACTCTTCCACTGATGTTGTCAACTTTTTAAGTTGTTGGGGAAAATGTGCCTCAGCCCGTGTTATATTCAGTGGACTAAGCTTGGGTTGCCAGTTTAATTCATTGGTCGGAGAAGTGTATCAACCTCAGTTCTGCAGGCGGCAATTAGGATTTATGCAGGAAGTTCCCACCGTTGGTTTTTTGCTATCTTTGCCGAATTATTTATCAGGGGAAATCAAGAATGGATGAAGCTACGGCATGGCACTCGTATGTTTATAGATCTAGTCCGGCCATCCCGTCACTCTACCTAGTTGACCCGCGGACGACGACGGCCTATAATGGATGGTGGCATGCAATGTGGGGGGTGATTGATTTTGATACGTCACGAAGCTCTATTGCTGACCTTACTAGTGATAGTTCTGAGAGTAGAACAACTTCTGATCCGATACCCGCGCAATCAGAGTTGGTTTCAGGACCGCCTGTTTTGGGTAAGTCTCCGATTTTCTCGGGGTATTTGTTTTGCATGATATAGCTTATGTGTTTGTTTCTGAACTTTTCAGCTACGGCCTTGAGATATAAAAGGACCTTACATCCGCTGCCGCTGCCGCTGCCACTGCCCCTGCTGTCATGCCTAGTACATGGAGATCTGCTCGACTTTCCATCCCGTTTGCTATTCTGAAGTCATAGTCTGCAGAACGGAAAAAACATCAAGCTTCCCAGATGTCATCTGATTAGGTAGTCATGATGGTTTGTTCCATAGAGCTTTCAGATCTGACCTAATGTTGCATTGATTGTGGCAGGTTCCGTCGAAGAAGGATACGGTACCTTCATCTCCCGAGATTTCCACGCCGTCTTTGGTTTCCACGGCTGCCTCACCTTCGTTGGCGCCTGCCATGGATTTGGAGACTTGAGATGTTGTTGTTAATCCTATTCCCTAGTTGGGGGACTCACCATTGCGCTCAATTTCCCCGGCTGTCCCAATTGAGGTAGAAGAATACTTCGCCCGAGGTTTGCCCACCCCTTCGCGTTGATCCCTGCCGCAAAGAACATCTGTGGCACTGGGTAAGACTCTGTTGGGCAAGTATTCTTTGTCTCTGCTTGATGATCAAGGAGCTTTTGAGTCAATGCAATTATCAGTCCTAGTTGCAGCGGCACGTGAAGGCTTAGATTCTTCCAGAAAGTGTTGGTTAGAGCATTGGCGGTTAGGTTAGGCAAAGTGGCAGACCGTCTTCAATTTTGCCGAGCCCTCCACAAAGTCACCAGTGAAAAGTTATGAGAGTTGGCTTCATTTGAAGAACGAAGGAAGGCCTATGCTGAGTTTTACGAGAAGGAGAGGCGCAAGGCAGAGGAGGAAAAATCCTATATTGACGGCCTTCGGAAAGAACAGATTTTCCTCCAAGCCGAAATGGAACAAATTCAAGCGCGATTGAATGGGATCCCCCCGGAAATTGAGAGAGCATCCGAAAGCCTGGTTGAAAGGGCTGCCCGCCGCCTTGAGTTGTATGATTTAACGCGGGCTGTCAATGGTCCTTTGTTGGCGTTGGCTGGGTGTCGGACGATGTTGCAGCAAAATTTCGGTCGGGCGGAATGGAGCCTAGTCGAACTTAGGCAGCCCTAGGTTGGCGTCATAACCGATTGGACCGCTCTTCATCCCGTGAGTCCGGATGCTGCCGACGGCCAGGAGCTTCCAGGGAAGCTGCCTTCTGGTTTGGTGTCTCGCATTCTCACGACTATCCAAAACCTACCGTCGTTGGGATGTCTTTGGCCGGGAATAGCTCCTTACATGATATCCAAGTGGATCAGGGTGACAACTGATCTTGTCTAGCAGCTTTCCTTTATTTTATTTTCTTTTATCACTGATATCTCACGCTGCTATAATGTCTTTTGAACCAGTCTTTGTAGGCAAAACTTGACATATATCAGCACTGGTCCTTCTTTTGAATGTTTTTCTTGTTTGTGTGTCCTTCTATATAAATGACGAATATACCTATTCCACCTTTCTGAAATCCCAAGGGTACAAAGGTTTCAAATATCGTCCGTTGATGAATGTTTTTTATTCATCGCCGTCGGGCTCCATTAGTCTATACGCTCTGCGGTATAATTTTGTTGTGACGATGTAGGGGCCCGTCCAATTGGATGACCATTTACCCAGTTGCAGATCCTTGGGACCTTCTGGAAGTATCACTTTCCACACCAAGTTTCCTTCTTGGAAAGACCGTGGCCGAACCTATCATTGGAAGGTTCGTTCGGCCTTCTTCTTTTGAAGCCGGAGGTGTTCGAGGGCTTGAAATTGTTCCTCCAGGAGGCTGTCCAACTCATGCAACAATGCCCGGTCCAGTTCCTCCATTGGCATTTCATTTTGTTTCAGAATGCGAAGTGAGGGTACCACGATTTCGAGAGGTAGCACTGCGCCTTGTCCGTAAGTTAACCTATAGGGCGTGCTTCCAGTCATGGTGGACTTAGCGTTCCAATAGGCCCACAAGGCCTCCTCCAACATCTCATTCCATGCCCTTGGATTATCTTCCATGCCCTTGGATTATCTTCCAGCGCCTTTTTATGATGGCGATGAACGTCTTGTTATTGGCTTTGGCTTGCCCATTGGCTTGCGGATAATACGGAGAAGAATGTACCAAACGGATGACGTATCGCACCACAAAGGCCTTGAGTTTCCTGCTAGTGAACACTATTCCTTGGTCGGTCGTAATGGTCTTTGGTATGCCGAACTAGTGAATAATATTACTCTTGATGAATTGAATAACATGATTCAGCCGTACCTGGACCAACGGGACAACCTTTACCCATTTCTTGAAGTAATTGGTTGCCACAAGGATGAATGCGTATCCTTTCAATGATGGTGGATGGATTTTACCGATGGCGTCCATTGCCCATCCTCGAAAGGGCCACAGTTTGAGAATCGAATGAAGTTCCTCGACTGGGGTGCGTTGTAGAAGTCCGTGGTGCTGGCACGATGGGCAGCCTTGTGCGTAGTCGATGCAATCTTGTGAGATTCGGGGCCAAAAGTATCCATATTGGAGGATGGTCCATCTCATAATTGGGCTAGCCCTATGTGTGCCTCTGATTCTTCCGTGTACTTCGGCCATCATTTTTATTGCTTCATCTCGCCCCAAACATCGCGCCAAAGTTCCATCAGCTCATTGGCGATAGAGTTTGCCGTCAGTACATGTATATTTCAGAAGTTGCTCCCACATGTGTCTCAATCTAGATTTTTTGGGTTATGCCAATGTCTCGAGGAGCTTCGTGCACCAATCTACATCTCTGTTGGTGGTTAGGCATTCAAATTTAGTGGTTGGTTCCTTCATTTGATACCTGGACGCCCATCGAGCGAGATTGTTTGCCTCCGAATTCTTTTCTCGGGAGATGTCATCCAACATCACCTCTGTAAATCGCTGGATCAGACCGTGCACTTCCCAAAGGAGTTCCTGAGTCATGGATATTTGTATTTAAATCCTTAAATGCTTTGTGGATGACCAGCTGGGAGTCGCCCCGGATCAGGACGTTTTTACCTTGTCTCGCGGCGAGAAAATCCAACGCCAGCAAGAGAGCTTCATACTCCGCCGGGTTGTTGGTTATTCCATGCGGGAGCTGATGTGCGAAACTCCAAATTTCTCCTTGGGGACTAGTTATTTCGACTCCAGCCCCTGCTACTCCTCCAGTGCTCGAACCATCGAATGTAACTTGCCATGGTTCCAGTCTGATGTATCCCATAGGGGAGGCTTCGATCATTCCGGGGTAATCGGCCAAAAAATCGGCAATGGCCTGCCCTTTCATTGCTTTTAGAGGCTGATATCTTAAGATGAATGATGCTAGTTTCATTGCCCACTTAACTGGGCGGCCTCGGAGGACCGGCCTGCTCATCAAATTTTTCAGCAAGTCGACTTTGGATAATACAATGGTTTCGACAGGCATCGAATAATGCTCCAACTTCATGCATGCATAATATAAAGATAAGCATAGTTTCTCGATACATGTATAACGAGTTTCATCATTGTTCAGAGTCTTACTAAGATAATAAAATGCCCTTTCACGACCTGACTCATCATCTTGAGCGAGAAGGCAGCAGATAGTGTCTTTCGTCACCGAAATATAAAGTTTCAGCTCATTCTCCGAGATCGGTAGCACCAGCACCGGTGGTGATATAAGGGCCTGCTAGATCTGTTCCAAAGAAGCTTGTTGCACTGTTTCCCATTCGAAAACCTCCTGACTTCCGCACCGCAACACGAAAAATGCTTTCATCTTTCCGGCGGTGTTGGCGATGAATCGCGCAAAAAGTTGATCTTGCCCATCAAACTATGTAATTCCTTGAGGTTACGTGGGGGTCCCAACTCCTGGATCACTTTTGCCTTATTCTAATTAATTTCAATCCCCTTCTCGTGGACGAGAAAACCTAGGAAATTACCTGCTTGAACATCAAACGCGCACTTTGTGGGATTCATTTTAAGGTCGTGCTGCCTTATCAGGGTGAAGGCCCTCCGGAGGTCAGCGAGATGGTGGTCAAATACTCTAAATCTTACAACGACGTCGTCAATATATACTTCCATACACTCGCCGATTAAGTCATGGAAGATCGCATTTATGGCTCTTTGATAGGTTGCTCCGGCATTCTTCAATCGGAACGGCATCATAATCCACTCGAATATGCTGCTCGCCCCCGGACATCGGAACGTTGTTTTGTGGGCATCCTCCTTGGCTAAGTATATATGATTTGATTGTACCCTGACTATTCATCCATGAAAGACAAGATCTCATATTCAGACGTTGAGTCGACAAGTATGTCGGCAATCGGCATGACATACTCATTTTTGGGCATTGCCAAGGTCAGGTTGCAAAAGTCGATACATACTTGGATCTTCCCATTTTCTTTATCACGGGCACGATGTTGGATATCCATTCCGGATATCGGCAAATACGAATAAAACTGGCCTTAAGCAATTTTTTCTCCTTTTTGTTTACCTTCGGCATCAACTCCGGGTTGAAACGCCGTGGGGGTTGTTTGTGAGGTTTGAACGATGGCTTGGTAGGCAACCAATGTTCGACCAATTTTTTAGACAGGCCTCGAATCTTGTGCTATTCCCACGTGAAACAGTCTCGATATTCTCGTATTAAATTCATAACCCGTTGTTTCTGGTCTAGGGGCAGCAAAGAACTGATTCACCAAAAGTTCATCCTATCACCTGAGGCTGGTCGGTTCCTCCTCGATGCGGCCTGCTCAGAGTTTGGCCTATCACCCGAGGCTGGTCGGTTCCTCCTTTGTGCGGCCTGCTCCAAGTTCGGCCTATCACCCGAGGTTGGTCGTTTTTTCCTTCCAAGCCAGAGACCCACCGCATTAATTTGAGTCGGGAATGGCTCCGTATCGATCTTCATTTCTAACTTGTCGGCCAGGCGTAGGTGGCCTTCCTTGATAGCCTTTTTTACTGCATTTCAGAAAGTGATACAGCTCCCGACCTGGTGTCAAAACAAGCCATGCCATATTGCAATAGGCTTTTCCACCCAACTCATCGTCGGATGGCATTTTATGGCCTTCTTTAAATCAGAGTTGATTATCCTTCAAAAAAAAAGTCAAAGATTTGCTTAGTTTTGGATATAGCGAAGGCATACTATATTTTGGGATTGGTCTCCTTCCTCCGCGGTACTTGAGCGCCGGGCAAATATACGCCTTTCCTTGTGATATTTCCACCAGGAACGTCTCATTTCCGGGCAGTCTGATTCATCCTCTTGGACTTGGACAAGATGTGCACCACTTCTGAATTTCTGCCTAGCTGTCTGAGAGTCTCGAAGGAGTTGTTCCTCCTTAACCGCTTTTCCAACAAGCTGTCTGAGGTCATTATATTCCTGCAATGCCAGCTTCTCCCGGAGCTGGTGTGTCATAATATCAATAATCATATTGATAACTTGATTTTCAGGTATCCGGACCTAGCACCGCCCCTGGGCCCTGCGAAATCTCTTCAAAAATTGTTCCACCGGTTCATCGTGCTTTTCTCGTAGGTTGGAAAGGTTTGAGACCGTCACCTCCAGCAGCGGGCTATAAAAGCGTTTGTGGAACGCCATTTTGAGATCCTTCCATGTATTTCATGAATTTAGCGGTAAAGACGCATACCATGTAAATATCGGTCCTGTGAGGGACAACGAGAATAGTTGGAGCTTTAACCAATTGTTGGTCCCGAACTCTCCTCCGGATTAAGCTGTGAACCGCCTAATGTGTTCAATGGTGCACCGTGAATCTTCGCATAAGAACAACGTGATTCTGGGACCCGTGTATTCCGGGAAGCAGATGGTCAATGACAACCTAATCTAGGAACAGCCGTTGATAATGCAGCCGAGCGGGAAGCCGGATAGAATCACCATACAACCTCCAAATTGCTTCTTCGATGACCTGCGGATTAATAATCGATCACGGTGGAGGAGTAACTTCGCCGTATCCTTTAGGCTGTCCCAAGCTTGGCTGGGCGCGAGGAAAATATTGTTGATGGTCCTGTGGAGGGTGAGCCGGAGGTGGACCTCCTCGATTCCCTTTGGCCGGTACTCGCGGAGGTGCTTCCGGTGGAGGGACGTAATTCCCAAAATAGACCCGAGGACCCTGTTGTGCAGGTCCATACCCCTATTGTGCGGCTGGTCTGGCAGGGGGAGCTTCCTGGTATATGTTGTCTGCCCCCCGGGAGGAGGCGGCAAGGTCGGAACCTGTGCACCCGAGCCCCAAGCAACTAGCACAGCCGATGGAGCTGACCCCCACGAACCTGGAGGAGCAAAAGCTGCCCCCCAAGGCAGATTCGGAGGTAGGGCGGATGTCCCTCAAGTCATCCCCGGAGCGGGACGAGTGGCAAGAGATGTTGAGGCTGCGGTTGGCCGTGCCCCCCCAAGGGTTAGCTGCTTCTCCCCCGGCAGGGACGTTACCTTGCCAGTTCGCCCCCGCGGACAATGTGGGCGCGCTCACGCAACCGAACAAAGGATTATTTTTCCATTGGACAGCTAGTGGTGTGTACCCGTTCTTCCTCGGATGTCCTTGATGTGGTGGCGGCCTTAAGATGGTCTGCCCTGAGGACCGCCAAGGTCTTTCAGCCACTGTCTCGTCCGGGAGATTTTTATTTTCAATTTCCTTGCTTAGTATGGTGACGTTACTATACTGGAGCATCGCTGGAGGGTGTCTAGACGTGCCCCTTATGGCACCTTTGTCGGAGGTGTGTTTTCATTATCTCCGGGACCGGCTGCCGGCGCTTTCTTTTTGCACAGTTCCTCCTCTCTCGCCCATGCAATCTCGTTTTGGATAGTTGGTTTCAGGACGTCTGCGAGATATTGGGAAAGTGTCAACACCGACTTATGGAAGACCGTTTGGATCTCCCCACGGATCTGATTTTAGAGGAAGCTTACAGGAATGGACAACTTCCTTTCTCCACTCCCCAGAGCAGCAGAGGACTCATCCTGCGTGAGTTCTCCGGGCGCACGCGACGCCGAAGTTTCACCGGCTGTTTCCTTATCTTTCGACATTGCTGATTTCTCCGACGATGGTAATTTGTGACTCCTCAGTTGCATAAAAAGTGTGAGACTCGTCGGAGTCCAACTGGGCGTGCCAATCTGTTGTCGTTGATATTCGTCGATGACTTCCTAATAAAATTAAGCCTGTCGAAATTGACAAAGAATCGGGTTCTCCGACCTACTCAAAAAAGTATCCGGGCTAAGTCTCGCGATAAAATAATTGAAATGTGTAGGATATAAATTATAGAAATTGAATTACTAGATGAAGAAAGAAAAAAACTTAGGAATGAAATAGTTGAAATGATTGAAAGCAACAAGAGTACCATCACTTCCGGAAGCTAATGCCAAAAACTGCGAAAGCCGAACGGCTCATAAAAGAGGCACAAGCAGCCCAGAATCATAATTTTCAAAGCGGGAACCACCCTGCTCATTCCCAGGAAGAAGCTTCCGAAGCCGAGGATGAACCGAATGAGACTTTTCTAGTTGAATCCCGGAGGGAAGCCATCAAGGAAGTCCTCCACCAGCTGGTCGAGAAGACTAAATGAAGATTGATACTAAATTATTTCCCATAGAAAACACCGTCAGAATAAATCCAACAGGGCCTGGAAGGTCG